TTATTCTATTGTATTCCCAACGGTATAAAATGAGATTAGTCTTGCAGTAAGATAGTTTTGTAGTTGTTATGTTTAATGAATACGAAATTTTGAGATAATAAGCGCAAATTTGATTTATGGAGTTATTGAATAAGAAGAAAGATTCTATACAACCTAGCAGTAAAGGGGAAATCTGTATAACGTGAAGGAGAAAATTTTTAGATAATATCTCAAATAATGAGCCTGTTGTTGACCGTAAACCTTCCTTATGTGCTGTACAAAAGGTGATGTGCTGTGATATGCAAAGTTTTCGAAGAAATTGTTGGATATAAAAGCATATGAGATGAGAGCCTGATAGAAAATCTACATCGTCTCAAAGAGCTTAACAGATCTTTATCGCCTTTTGGATGAGCTTGACATAATTAATTCCATTATTGATTGCTTGTTGTCATCAATAACTCCATTATTAATTCCATTACTAATACTAACCAATCAATTTCAGTAGTGAACGAATGCTCTGATGCTCGTTACAACGATTGCTCACCTCATGCAAGATGTATCGACAAGACCGTGGGATACACATGTCGGTGTGTGCCCGGATTTGCGGACGTCTCGCCCGAAGGACTGAAGCGACCGGGAAGACAATGCATTCCGTGTAAGTCTTTTACAAGTTTGAATTCTATTACTTCAATACTCAACTATGAGATGTTGAATTTAAGGGAGAGAACTGAGTTACAGTGAGAGTAAGATCTACCAAGATAACGGTGAAAGATTTTACTTATTAGCTCAAAATATCTGATAAGAGTGAATTTGTCAAAATACGTTACTAATCATATCCAGCAGCAAAATTCTTTTGTCAATGGATTTGATTGCATTCTTTGCTAGTTTGAGAAATTGGGAAACTTATCTTCCAGCTTCAAATTTTTTTACTTCGGTTAGCTGTCTTTTTAACTGCTTTGAAAGGTTGGTGCCTTGTGATTCTTTAACTATTTGAAGCTAAAGATGTTTTGGCAAAGTTCTTCCTATTCCTGGCAACTTTTAACTTTCATGTAAAGAATGGGATTTTGTTGCAATGAGAAAGTTGTGGTTGAAAATAAGCAGATGAAGATTTACGATCTTGAAGATAATAAGAAACGCTGCATGTTCGTACCAAGTGGGATGTAGACAGAGTCAAACATTGGCTATTTTGGATTTTACTTTGCGCTTTCTTCTCAGCATCTGAATTACAATCCAATCCAATTAATTTTTTTTTTGAAAATTTGGGGCATCAATTTTTGCCATTGCGAACTCGCTGAAAATCTTCTTGTGACTAATTGAAAATGTAGTTCAGAGTGCAAAATTTTTAGAGGCTGTGTCATCGTGAAATTTCTACCTTTCCAAGTAAAGACTGTGAGTAGTAAAATTTCACACTATTTCAAACTAAATCACAAGTTTGACCGACGTCATTTTTTAAACTTTGAGCAGTACTTTGATAAAAACTTCCTCAAAAACTTTGTTCTCTTTGCTAATTAAAAAAATTAGTATCTAATTAGAAGCTTTTCGTTATACTTACAAACACGTTAACCTTTCTCACGTAATATATGTGCATAGTGGAAGATGACACTCTTGAATCGTTTGTTTTCTAGTTGAGGCCAAATGATCGTATTAGAATAATATATTCTAAAAAATTATGAAGGAAAAAAATTGATTGATTTGAGTGGTAAATTTGAGGAAATGCTTTCATTCGGTATTAGAGAAGTCGAAAATAGTACTGATATTCGAGTGTTCGGATTCTGGTTTTAAATACAGTAGTTGTGATACTGCAATTCGAATATTATTTTCGTTTAGATACCTACAGAATTATCAAATAATTTGTATACATCTGAAATTATCGAATGTAGTAGGGACCGTGTAGTCATACTAATCTATTCGATTGAAAAATAATTCGAGTACGAGTACATTTGATTGGCCAATTATTTAACAAAACGCGGTTTTTTGTTACTAGAGTTGTAGTAGATTGTTTGATTGGATACTATTGTTTGGCCATTTGTTTATCGAAGTTAGTGTAAACCCAAATAGTGGTTTGAATTTTTCAATAGCTGGTCGTCAAGTACTTAATCACGAATAATTATGCGATGCTCGTTCAGTCGGAGATTTTTTTGAATGTTTCATATATAGTTCTTTACCTCCGACGCTAATTTAACCAAATCTTGACAGAACTTTAGAAATAATTCGTCGTAGCAGATGAAAACCAGCCAAATACAAATTTAGTTCTTTTACGGAAATATTTGCCCTGCTATGATAACGTTCTATGTACAAGGTCCTGCATATTGCAACTCCACCTTGGCCTTGGCCGTATTGCAGGTGGTACTCTTCCCTGATTGAAACGAGCGAAATCTGAACATCCAATTTGGCATAATGGAAGATTTGATGTCTTGAATTGAAACAACATTCTTTCGCGCAACCCATTAGCTCTTTGTTTTTTTTTCTCTGGAAGCAGATTCCGTTCGGTAATTTAATTATTCAAAAGAGGCCAGTTGCAAACAAAAAAAAA